GTGTACAGGAACTTGAACCCACGTTGGGACGAATCGGTCGATATCACCGTATCGGGTCCTCTCAATGTCATCGCCACCATATGGGATTACGACACCTTTGGTGACCACGACTTTGTTGGTCGTACATCACTAAAGCTTGATCCTATTCACTTTAGTGATTACCTGCCACGAGAATACTGGTTGGATTTGGATACGCAAGGCAGAGTTCTATTGCGTGTCAGCATGGAAGGCGAGCGAGACGACATCCAGTTCTACTTCGGAAAGGCCTTCAGGCATCTTAAGCGAACAGAACGAGATATGGTTCGCAAGATCACGGATAAGGTAAGCAAGCAAATGCATATCGCTGACGAAGAAGAGACTGCTAACCCCCGATTAGCTCCGAGCTCAGATCAGCGCCACCATATCCCATGAGACTTTGCGAAGTCTACTAAAGGGTAACGGAATCGGATCTTCCGTGACTGCCTTATGGAAAAAGCGAGCGTCCACGATGCCCGTTGTCACTACCCAAACCGACATCGAGAGCGCCTTGCAACCTCTTTTCCACTATTTTGATCAGAACTTCGCCATTATGAAAGAGACGCTAACGGATGCCACAATGTTGGCAGTCATGACACGCCTCTGGAAGGAAGTCCTCATGGCGGTTGAGAGCCTTCTGGTACCCCCTCTCTCAGAAAAGCCCTCGTCACAGAGACCATTGTCACAGAAAGAATCGGACATCGTTTACAGGTGGTTGGAGATGCTTTTCGACTTTTTCAATGCCAAGGACGAAAGTGGCGAGCAGCTGGGTGTGCCGCAGGAGGTGCTGAGGTCACCCAAGTGGCATGAGCTGGCGGCTTTGAATTTTTTCTATTTCGAGGAAACACAGAATCTCATTCGAGAGTCGGAGCGTATGGCAGCCGCCAACGCTCAGCGGGCGCAGCAGATGTTGCTACAGGAAAAGCACGAAAACCGATTGTCCGCACCGGCGACTTTCGGTCCAACCTTCAGCGGCGGTCCCGGCTCTTTTGCTAGCATGGGCACGATCCGTCGCGGCAAGTCCATCATGATGAGCCGAAATCTGGGAACGATGCGGCGGGCCAAGGAGGAGAAGCGCAAAGAGGCCCAGGCGGATCCCAGCGACGATATGATTCTTCGCATTCTCCGCATGAGGCCGGAGGCGGCTCCGTACCTTCGCGAAAGACACAGACAAAAGGAGCGACAGGCGGCCGCCGCCGCTGCAGCACTTATCGTCAAGAACAGCGTAAACCAAGGATGGAACTCGGGTGGTGCGGGCGCATACGGCCGCAACAACCTCCCCCGGAGGTGAGGAAGGTGAAGATTATGACCTCGATGTTTTCTTGTTGAATGGAGGCGGCGTTGGCTTCCTCGGTCTTCAATTTTTTGGCTTTTGCGTGCGTTGTTTGCTCGTTGTAGAAGGAGATGGATGGAACATTTCGATACCAGAGGCCGAGAGAGCAGAACGAATGGTTGACGGGATGGGAGACATGACATACACACACACGACGCAGCAACGGCTTTTTTTGATATCTCTTTTTCTTTTCCTTCTGCAAACAAATCTTTGGTAGCGGTCCAAGGAATCATGACAAGATGTAGATACCCTCGCTACGATTCTTAATATCCCTCCACCCCCCTTGACCGACGGCGGCGCCTTTGTTTACGGAGACTTGGGGTTCATGGTTTTTGCGTTTTCTCTTGGTTGGCATTAGATTGCAGTTGGTAGCAGTTGGAGAAATACGACACCATACCGTACGATTGTGCTTTCTATTGCCTGTGATTGTCTTTGTGCGGGTGCGGCTTGTATAGTGTTGTTTGTCTAGGAATTGCTGGTAAGAGGGGGTTTAGCTGTAGAACTGAGGAATTGCGGTTACCCGAGGGGGAGAGTCATCGATTCACTAGCGTAACGTATCCGACGGCAACAAAAACAGGACACAAGTGCTACTGCTACTGCTGGTTGGGTCACAAACTGGGAAGGGTTAACCAACACAGCCAGGCAGGGACAAGCACAAGCAAGAGGGGAATTGCCCTGACATGTACGTTTGCTCCAAGTTGGATGGTTCATCTCGAATAAGGCGAGTTTTGTAGCTTCGTGGTTTGATGGAGACTTTTTTTTTCACAGCCAAATACAACTAGCTATATGTGCGCCTAAGAGAGTGAGAGCTAGGGGTTCAATGATTAAGCCGCGACTTCGACTTCGACTTGAGTTCCCATTTCTATGAAGCAACACCAGTGCCAGCCACCGCCTCGACCGTCGTAGGCGTCTGCGACCGCTGCTGCTTGACTTCATTAGCGGCCACGAGCGCGTCGTCGAGTGTGTCCAGGAGATCTTGCACGTCCTCCAGCCCTGCCGATATCCGTATCGTCTCCTCCAAAATACCGTACGAACGATGGTACGCCGCCTCGTCGGCGTCCTTGCCGAATGCCAGAGTGTTGTAGCAGAAGCTGAGCGTGCGGTGAGCACCCAAATGGGGACCCGGATAGAAGGCGAGGCGGTCGTAAAATGCTTTTGCCGTATCGACGGACTCGAAGTCGATGCTGAGCAAGCAGCCCGCGCCTGGCTCCTCGAGTTCAGGGGTTGGCCGCCTAAGGTAGGATTTGTAAATATCATAGTCTGGGAGACACGTTGGGTACAGAAGTTTGGATACTGGCGAGGAAGTGTCTTCAGCCAGGCGCTGGAGGTGGGTGGCCATGGCCGCGGCGTTACGGTTGAGGATCGTAGTGCGGGCGAGGTAGTCATCTGAATTAGACAGGAGAACTTCAGTATCAGCGGTGAAGAGTTCGTTGTGGAAAGTTTTGGCCCAGTGAGAGGAGAGGCCGTCGTAGTGTGGCGAGAGAGGGTTCAAGACGACGCTACCTCCCATGACGTTGGCGTAACCGGAGAATGTCTTCGTCAGTGATGAGACGAGGATGTCTGACTGTGCGATAACGTCAATGTTGGCGAAGGATCCGACTGTGTCATCGAGGACGAGAACGAAGTTATGCTTCTCAGACTTTTGCCAGTGTTAGCTATGGGACGTTGATAACGGAGATGCAAATCGGACTGACCAGCTTCTTCAGACGAGCAAGATCAATGCTCGCCAGCAAAGGGTTGCTAGGGAACTCGGTGAGGACGTAGCTCACATCCTTTCCAGCGGCGGCCTGTTCATCCAGCCACGCCTCAAAGATGTCTATGCCCTTGGGATCAACGGGACCGAAATGCTTATAGCCATGCGACGAGTTTTCTTGGATGTAGTGAACAGTACTGTGAAACACGATGCCCAGAATCGCTACACTTCCAGGACGATACTGAAGTAGCGCATGGTGGATACTGAAAATCGCAGCCATGCCCGTCTGGTACAAGAACACATCCTTGCTCTGAACTTTGATCTTCTCTGGCTCGATGGCAGCTCTGTGCAGAAGCCCCGTAATGCGCTCCTTGAGCTTGCCGTGGGCCTCTCCCTCCGGAAGGTAGTCTGTGGGAGGTACCGTCGAACCGTCGGGGAAGTCGACTTCGGTCAACGAGTCAATGTTCTCGTGCAAGTATTCTGCGAGACGGATGGAAACACCGATACCGGGATTCTGCCAGGCTCCAATGACACCAGGCGTCTTCGCGGCGGGGAACGTCACAAGGTAGATGCGCACACCTCCAATGTCGACGCAGCGATGTCCGAGGTCACTTTCCGCCAAGACCTTCTCCTTGCGGTTAGGATGGGTAGAGTGAGCGCGGACAGCATCCAGAGACCGGGGCGAAGTGAAGTAAAGGGCTCCGTGACCCTCTGGTGTCTTTATTTTGGCGCAGATAGCTCTGAGTGTCTGGACGGATGTGCGTCAGCGAATCTATGGTTCAGCCACATGATACGGACGGGACCTCGATGTCATCTGCATCGACATTGCGTGTTAGTACGAGAAGTGCTGACCTCGCCAACGGGGCCGAAAGGCCCAAATCTTGGATAAATGTGAACGACCCGCTTCATAATGTTTGGGTCGCCTTCACGGAAGGCAATGGCGGAATCCCAACCCGGTGCGTAGGTTGTGATGCCATATTGAGAATCTGGAGGCACGCAGCGGCCGAATTCTGACGCTGGTCTGAGCACAGGCATGATGCGTCGTTGTAACTACTCCTTGACGGAAATGAATACCCAACTGTGGTTGGGAAAAAGAACGAGTTCAAGCAGATATAAGAGTTGGAAGCTGAGAACTCCAACGGTTGAGCGGGGGCTGACACGGCCACAAGTTCGGAAAGATGAACGACACGAAGATACATATGGAGTGGACTAAACGGTCTAAATCCATCGGCCCTGCGATATCGTCCAGCCAAAGAGGGGCTAGGTAGCCAGCAAGTAAGACATACCCACCGCCCCTAGGGAGGCAAATGGAAGCTGCGAAGCTGCCTTGAGCCGCCTGCACCTCCATGCGTCTCGATCTCCACCAGCCGTTGTCAACAACCTGAGATGTTGGGGTTGTGGGGCGGTGTTCCCATCTGAGCTACAAAAGAACGACTATACTGAGCAGGGTATTTTCCCACAGCACACCAATGGGTGAAAAAGGATTGGGTTAGGTAGACAAACAAGGTTGCATGTCATTCGTAACGTCGGATTCGAGCTACCAGAAGCTTGGGTTGCTCACGTCAGCTTGGAATGTCGAATCCTACGGGGCGCGACAGCAGAGCTCAAAACGGCAAGAAGTGCTGGCAAGAACGTATGTCATTGGAGCGATGAGACCTCGCAGGATTGGAAGCAAAGCGCGCATCTGCGCAAGCTTTACATGTCAACGCATAAGCTTGGGGAGAGGGCAACGCGACCATTCGGTTGGCGACTTATATTGAACCATTTGATCCGTCCATTTTTGTCTACTTTCTCTTCTTAGGTACAGATATATCCAATACTCATTGATATGGCACCAAAATGCATCACAACAAACGAAACAGGGTTGACAAAACCACCAATGCTGATCGACCATAGAGCACTCGCTTCATACTACAAGATACAAGGAAACTATTTTCCGGGGGATAAAAACACAAAGCCTCACCAGTACTGACGTTCTCTACCCTCAAAAGCAAAGTTGAGTACCACGGCGATGAACAACGCACCGCAAAGCGCGCTGGGACCCCAGCGGTCGTAGAATTTGGCCGCTCTCCTGGTACGGATTGCCTGGCTTCTGTACAGGTAGATTGCGACAGAGTAGCAGAGCGACAGAATGGCCAGCAAAGTGAAGACTCCGGCCACGATGAACGAGGCACTGGTAGGCTTGGAGCCGAAGTTGAGCAGCGTGACGGCGACAGTGCCGACGTAGATTGAGAATTCGAGCTAGATGATCAAGTCAGCAGCATTTCTGATGTCAGATTCTTATGGCAACTTACCCAGCCTAGGAAGGTCCTTTCAGCTGCGAAGTAGACCTTGGGCTCAACGCGGACGGGGACGTAAATTTTCTTGCCCTTGGGCGCCTTGAACCTCTTAGTCTGAACAGGGCCGGTGCCGAAAAGCTGCGTGGTTGCCTCTCGCCTAGGAATCACTGAGCCACGGGGATGGGGCACAGCCCATTTCAACACATCGACAGCACCCTGCCCGAAAGCGCGGGCCTTCGTTGATGCCAAAGCCGAATAGTAAGTCCAGCCGCCAACTCTGCGCGCCTCCTCCAGAACTTCGTCCGCATCGTACTCCTCGTCCGAGTCGTACAAGAAGTCTTCGCCTTCGAGGGCATCGGTCGTTTGGTCTTCGATATCGGCCGCACCATTCCTCGCAGCTCCTTGGCGACTGGACTCTCCGTTCGTGGTACCGTTGTTGCTGAGTATCAAAGCTCCCTCCTCGTCATCAGAGTCAAGGTCATCATCCTCGTCATCTGATGTTGTAGCCGTCGCCGACTGGTTTGGTCTGTGGATACCAAAGTCGTGTGTAGCCGGCTTTCTGATATCGACATCCATCTGCGGCATCCAGAAGGGAAGCAGATTGATGCGATCAGGGAATAGGCAAGCAACTCCATGGATGAACTTGGAAAACTTGGGCACGGCCTCCACAAGATGGCTGGAGATCAGCTGACGCACCCATTCCGGAGGCTCCTGACCAAGCTGCGTCTGCAGCTTGACTTCGAGGACCGCATACGGGAAGCGCACAATGTCGCTTGGCGGAAGCTGCGAGAAGGGGTAATCAATACCAATATCCATGCGCCTCCAGTTGTCGCCGGAGCGATTGACGCCGTCGAGGTTGTCTTCCCGAACCATGGTGAGTTCAGTGTCCAGAGAGATACGGACACGAGCATCGGCGGGGAGCTGGAAGGCTGTGCGGTTGTAGAAGGATCGGCACACGGGCTTGTAACCCTTCTTGAGAACAGAGTATTGGACTTCCGCAGCGAGCCTCTCGTCCTCGGCAATCTGCTTCTCAGGCTTCTTGCCCTCCTTGCGCGCCTTCTCGAAGAGAGCTGCCGGCAGAAGCTCACCTCGCATGTACGAGTTGACGTTCTTCTCCTTAAGAGAGAAACGCGCCTTGACGGATTTCTCTCCTGTCCAGTCCTCACGATGGGTCTTGCGCTCAACAAAGATGTTCTCGCTCTGCATCCCACCGTACCATCTCAAACGGATAGCCTCGGCTCCCTCCGTCTTTTTCAGACGGCCCTCGTACAGGTCCCAGGCACTCGGGTTGTCGTAGTAAATGGATGTAATTGCCGAGTCCTGCGTCTCGAATTCCTTGCTGGCGTTGAAAACCAGGACGGGCAAGTGCTTCAGGATGATGAGCTTCAACTCGGTCACGTTGTCGGGGTGGACCCAGTATTTCGTCGTGTTACGAACGAAGCTTCCCTGAGAGCCACCAGCGGCGCTGTCACCCTTGACCGGGTTTCCTCTCGTCCTCACCAAGTCGTACAGCTTCGACAGCTTCACTACGGAGGCATCGTAGTTCTCCTTGTAGAAAGGCTTCGCCTTCAGTCGGGTGTCGAAAACGGGCTTGAGGTGCCAGCCAGTCATTTTCTGCGTCGCATTAGCCCAACATCCTGTTGCCAGAAGTCACGGCATAAACTTACGTCGTGCTTCTTGATAATCTTATAAAACCCAGTATAGTTGAGCTGGACAAACTTGGCAAGATCATGCACATCGGCAATAATGTCGCTCAAGTCCTCCTCCAAGAGCATGAACTCCTCTTCGCTGGGGCCATCCTCGCGAGGGCCGCGCTCGATGAGACGATTGACGACGCCTCTAACCTCGCGCTCGCTCACGGCGATGCGCCTCGAAATCTCCATGGCCTTCACCTGCTGCTTGGTGTGCACCTTGTCAAGCTCGGCCTCGAGCTTCTTCACAAAGCGACCCTCATCCTCCTCGGACCACTCGCGCTTGATGCCCTTGCCTTTGCCATTGTCGGTCGAGATGACGGGGCCGGTGGCTGTTTTGAGGTCGGCCTTGAGGGCATCGTAGTCGATGTAGTACCACTGGTACTCGCGAATAATGCTCGAACGGAGCTGCTCGCCGAACTTCATGACGACGATTCCAGGACGGGCGCGCCAGGGTTCGCTGGGTGCTAGACTCGGTCGCCAAGTTCGTTCCTGTGTCTTCAGGTCGTGGACAATTAGCATGAGGAATTGTCGCGCCGAAAGGAGACCATTTTCAGAGACTAGGGACTTAAAAGTCTGTTGTCGGTGAAAGCCTTCCAACCGAACCAAGGATGGTGCCTTTTGCGTTTTGAGGCATAGATTGACCAAGGTTCCAGGGAAACCGTGGAGTCCACCGAAAGGGATACCTTTTCGTAATGGAGAGGGGGTCTCACCTATGCAGCTCTTTAGCCGTACAACCGGGGTGCCGGATGGCGCAGGAGTAAAATGTTCCAATAGTTGGTGCGAAAGATGCGCAAGTTGAGGAACGTTCGCCTGTCGCGGTCGGGTCGCCCAGGCAAAACAAATGGGAGGCGATGGAATGGAAGCGGCCGACGGTTTACGAGACAAGCTTCCGGCAGGGGGGATTGCCTGGCCTGCAGCAGAAGTGGCTCTGACGATGGAGCCCCAAACCCAGTAAAATGCAGCTTAGACGCGGCTAGCTCCAGGCCGTCTGGGCCCAGTACCCGCTGCTACCCAGAGCTCTTGGCAGGGGGCATTGGCCAATTGAGAACGGCAAAAGAGCACGTGCATCCCCGTACGTCACAGCGCCTTCAGTGCGAGGAAGGATTTTTTTTTTTTTTTTTTGGCCCATGGCGGGGTTGCAGCGGCGGGGGACCACCACCCGGGGCCGTCGAGAGAAAACTCGTTGCAAGGCTTGCTTTGCGCCGGCCGGCCTCCAAATTACCACGGACCGGTCCCCGCCGCACCGATCCCCGATCGAAGTCTTTTTTCAGACCCGAATCCTTCCTTCCGATCCCAGACACTCCGGATACGGACACCGCCCTTGGCTCACACCCAGTCAACCCCTTACCTCGCAACCATGGCGATCGACGACTCGTTGCAAGCGCGCATCACCACCGACTGTCCGGAGGAGACCCGACAAATCCTCCTCCACGCCTGGAGCCATGATGTTTCCGAGCTAAAGAAGCTCCTCGATGCCCCTGGCAAAGCAAGCGTGCAAGACCCCACGACCGGCGAGACACCTCTCCATGCCGCGATCCGCGCATGCGGACCTGCAAAGGAGGATGGTGATATCGAGGAGGCCAAGGAGACGGTCTACGAGCTCTTCCTTAAAGGCGCCATCTGGAACGACGTCGATGCCAACAACGAGACACCAGGCTGCCTTGCTCAGCGCCTCGGCCAAAGTGAGCTCTACAAGCTCTGCGTAGAGGCTGGCGTGCGCGCCGAGCTGCTGTTCGGCTTGCTGGACGGCTACGAGGAGTTGTGCTCTCAGATGGACGAAGACGAGGAGTTAGAGGTGATCGAGGAAGCCGAAGCCATGGAGGCTGACGTTCAAGATGGTGAAGAGGCCCCCGAGCTCGTCGAGGTGGAGAAGAAGTTCGTACCGCCGACGGTCGCCGACCCGGACGTCAAATCGGAAGAGTACCTCCGCTCAAATCTGACCTACTCAGACGGCAAGCTTGTCGATGACGGCGGCAACGGCGTCATGATGGCCTGGGAGACAGAAATTATGCGCAAGAGCGTCGACGCTGTCCTCCCTGGCCTGGCTGTTGGCAAGCGGATCCTCAACGTCGGCTTCGGTATGGGCATCATCGACGCCATGTTTGCCGAGACCAAGCCCTCCAGACACCATGTCATTGAGGCGCACCCCGAGGTGCTCGAGCACATCGACAAGCCCGACTCCAAATTCGGGGCAGCGTGGGAGGCGAGTGGACCCGGGGAGGGCGCATACAAGATCCACCGCGGACGCTGGCAGGATATCGTGCCCAAGCTACTGGAGGAGGGTGAAATTTACGATGCCATCTACTTCGACACTTTCGGCGAGGACTACGGCCAGCTGAAGATGTTCTTCACGGAGTACATACCTGGCTTGATGGACGAGGCAGGCCGTTTCAGCTTCTTTAACGGGCTTGGAGCTGACCGCAAGATATGCTACGATGTTTATACCAAGGTCGTGGAGATGCACATGGCCGATGCAGGCCTGGACATCGAATGGAATGAAATGGACGTCGACATGAAGGGTCTGGAAGAGGCAGGCAAGGGCGAGTGGGAAGGTGTGAAGCGCAGGTACTGGACTTTGGACAGTAAGTTAACCCCCGACTTTATCTCACTGGTCACGTACTAACACCACTTCAGAATTCCGACTGCCGACGTGCACATTCCTGGGTTAACTCCCAGATAGGGATACTGATTGTATGAGCTATCTAAAAGCTTTGGTAAACGTAACCATATGAGCCCGTCCAGATAGGAACCGAATCAGCAAAATCCCGTCTAATCCTGTAACCTTATCGCGTTCCTTTTTCATACCGCTCCATTGGGATTTTATTTAAAGTTCTCAGGGTGCAGAATGCCGGCCATGTTGCCTTGCTGAACGCGCTTCAGGGTCAGGGCGGCAATAAGAGCGGCACCAACACCGCTGCCGTCCTCTGCAGCGAGAATCTCGACGGGGTCCTCCTCCTTGGTGCTCTTCTTGGCGGGCCAGTCGAGGATCTCGCGGAGAGCTTGGGCGCCACGAGCCTTGAAGTGAGGGTACTTGTTGAATACCGAACCGTCAGCGCCAACGTGGCAGCTCTCATAGCCCTTCTTCATGCAAATGGCGGCGACACCGCAGGCAGAGAGGCGGGCAGCACGAGTGCCGATGAGCTCAGCAAGACGGCGGATGAGCTCCAGCTCGGGGCGAGTAGCCTTGAGGCCAAGCTTGGAGGCAAAAAGATCGCTGGTCTCTTGCAAGTTCTCGAATGGGTCGCTGTGACATGTTAGTTCTTACACGCACACAGGGTGCCAGATCGTTACGTACTCCTCGATGGCGGACAGGAAAGAAGAGTCCAGGGTGTAGGCCTTGCGGAGCTTGGCGATGTCCTGGTTCTCAAAGATGTGGATGGACTTGTTGTCATGGAGGTCAACAAGGACCAGGCGGAAGATCTCGCCGAGATAGAGGCCTGCGATCATCTTCTCGAAAGCTTGCTGGCCGGGACGAGGGGAGTCCTTATCGATGATGATATCGTAGGGGGTGCGAGGCAGGACCTGGTGCTCATTGTCAAAGGCACCCCACTCGCAGTTGATGGCCATGGGGGTGTCAGGGGGCAGGTTCATGTGGGCAAGCTTGGGAATAGAGCCGCAGTTCTCCATGTAGGCGGCGTTGCAACCAGTGCCGAAAATGCAGCCAATCTTCATCTTGGTGTCGGTGTAAGCCGAGGCAATCAGAGTACCGGTAGTATCGTTGATCAGAGCCGTGAGCTTGATAGGGACGTTCTAGGGACATGTTAGCACATGCGGCAAATCCAAGGACATTTCGCGCCCTTACTCTCTTAGCCAGGGCCTCCTCAAGGAAGGGGACCACATTATGTCCCTCAACACCGTCGATGTCGAAGCCCTTGGTCCAGCGCTGAAGGATACCCTCATCGATGTAGTTCTGGGTAGCAGGGTAGGAGAAAGTGAAACCGAGGGGAATCTTCTCGTCCTTGGGATGATCGGGGTGGTGAGTGTCGACGAATTGCAGCAAGCAGTCGGCGATGTACTCCCAAAGCTCATCAGACTTTCCGGTCTTGAGCTCCTCGGGCATGCGGTACTTAGACTGAATAATGTCGAACTCGGACTTCTGGTCGGTGAGGGTGATCTCGCAGACACGGAGGTTGGTGCCGCCCATGTCGAGAGCCAGGAAGGTGCCAGTCTCATAGCCATCTGGGAAGGACATAACCCAGGTCGGGTTCATGGGCTAGTACTGTAGTCAGAAAACCATGTAGAAGCTGGCTCAGTCCTTGTTGTCATGACTTACGATGCTACCGCCCTCGACACTCAGACCTATGTTCATATTAGCGGCTTTTCAGATGCCGACCTTATTAACAGTTGAGACTCACCCTTGTCAAGCTCCGAGATGAAGTGCTTGCTGATAGCCTTGAGCTTCTCAGTAGGCACCGTGAACTGCTGCTCAAGCTTCTGGACCTCCGCAAGAAGGTCCTTGGGCACATCGGCCATGGAGCCTAGAATTTCACTCATGGTTAGCGATCGCAGTAGAAAAATAGGCTCCTTGGTAAGAATTGCTTGCTTTTCCGTGAGGGATTGGGGTTAAAGATATCGGTATGGTGGTAGGAGCGCTCCCTTGTATGGGGCGCGATTGCCTTGTCGACCATGATGAAGGGTGAGAGGGATAAGACTAGACAAAGGTTGTGCTTGGAAACACCGCTCTCGAGCTATTTGCTCAGCCTCTGGGCACGCGACTTGTTTCGTGTGAGGGTATCACCAGTGATCGAGGAGTGAAAGCAGATGTGTAGATCTGAGCAACAAAGGGCAAACAGCAACAGACAAGCAGGGAGCGGTCAACACAAAGCAGCCAAGCAGACAGGAACGGCGCTTGCCAGCTTGTTATACCAACTGGCAGCTCTGGGGAAAGAAGAAAGCTGGGGTGAAGGTGGGGGAGTGTCTGATAAGTGAGACCGTGTCCCAGCTCAACGCTAAGTATTTGGGCACCTTTCCCAATGAAATAGGCATTGCTTGACAAGCTACCCCTTTGCCCTGGGGTATCTCCGTTGGAGTAGCTCAGCAGAGCAGCCCAGCCTTGTGGCGCACCGTGTACTCCGACACAGGAGGCGTGGGAAACGTCAAAGTGGCAGCCAGGAATGGCATTGGGTGATGATGTAGGTGTGTGCGGGATGGGGATAGGAGGATGAGGCGTTGAGGAGGCCGGGAGGGTGTGACGCCTGCATGAGTTGCGTGGTGTGGGAGCGGCACAATTGCCAGCACTTTCGATAGTAGGGTGTCTCGAGCATTGTCTCAATCAAAGACCAGGGTCCGATGGCTCCGTTCCCTTCATCTCGAATGTTCGGACAGTCGATCCGGGGAAAGCAATGGAAGAAATCGTGAGTTTGAACTTACCCTTTCTAGAGGGCGGGACCTTAGGACCAAGACCAACCATTTTGACCGGTAGCTCTGGAAGATGGCGGGGTAAAGATGGTGAGGGGTCGAATTTAGGTTGTAGGTAGTGAAAGAGGCAACGGGGATGTAGGTCGATTCAAATGTGAAGTGAAATGCTCGAGGACGACAAATCCGTGGTGTTGTTGTATAGGTGGGCGGTCAAGCAGCTTGTGGTGGTGAGAGATACCGACTGCTGTGACGTTGAGGAAAGGGCGAAGGTGCGTGGATCAGATGACTGAAGGTGAGAGGTCGGCCGTACGAATAGAGCTTCTTGAGTGGGCTCAGGAAGGTGCAGCGTGGAGGGGTCCTGCGCGGATTGGAAGCAAGGCGTCTCACAGGGGACCTTGACCAGACCTCATTTTTAGCACACACTGTAGGCTGCACGCTCCTGCACAATCTGTGGCCCCTGTCTTTCTTTTAGTCTTGGGCCGAGTCCTCATCCCCGAAACCGCTGAGGTAGAAAATCAGCACACCTTGAATCGCCAAAGCTGTGACTGAACGGGGCCAATTGGCAGCTTTCAGACATGCGATTTTTTTTTTCTCACTCATCGTCTGTCCCACTATTAGGTAGGTGCCGCGGAGCAGAGCCGTCAAGCCCCGTCCAGTGGTTATTACGAGATTTGCAGCGGCCTTACTCAGCTGGGATGCGCCCAGGAACGCCGTAGCGATAGCGGTCTGTTGTGGACCGGGTTGCTTTCTAGGGCTAAACTGAACTTAATTGTTCAGAGCCTTTGTTAGGTAGGGGTATGTTGAGCCTCCGAGACATGCTTCAACAAGGTCAATTATACGTGTTCGGAGGGCTTGAAGACTGGTGCCTATGCCCGGGTCAGATGGTATCTTGGATGAACTCCAGCATCTCCAGGATCTTGGATAGGGTGCCTGACACAACACCGATTCCAAACTCCGGAGCTCTCGGTGTGTGACGTGGAGCAAATCGCAGCTCAACCACAGCGCAGAGAGAAGCTGTTTGCCCCACCAATACCCGAAGCCAGTCGTCATTGGAAAAGCAGGTGCCCCGCAACGCCAAGCGAGAAGCAAGCTGGAAAGTGTCAGAAAATGTCGTTGAGGTGGACGGCCAAAGTGTGGCTGGAGCTATGCTCTCTAGCCTCAGATTAGAGACGCTGGCCGCGTGGCCTGCCCCGGGAAATGTGGCAGGTGCCAGAGGACGGGCCCGACCTGACTGGACCTGGCGGGAGGGACTGCCGGACTTGCATTGACCCGAGCCGGCGGTTCCCAGCTGGACTTGGCCCGTGCGCGCCGTCAAGCAACGTATCCGTAAGCTTTTGGCTGGGGGTAGCTGTCTCAGGAGCCAGATCATCAACTCGGCAATGGAGTGAAAGCCCCAATTGCGCCTCAACAACCGCTATTTTCCATTTCTGATTCTCACTGCCGGGAGCGCTCTGTAAATGAGCATCTCCCTCGACTTTTCCACATCATGAGAGCCTTCGCCATCGCCGCTGGGCTTCTGAGCCTGCTCTCCCCAGTTGTCGCAAGCTCCGCCGCGGCAGACAAGTCGGAAGTCAATCAGCCATCCACCTTCAAGCCGCCTCAGGTCTTCAAGAACGCCAATCTTGTACACATCATCTCCCTCGAGAAGAACTACGTCAAGGAGTCAATCAATGTCCTGATCGAGAACATTGACAAGCAACCCCAAGATGAATACTATCTGCCATTCACCCCCGACCAGATGTCGCGCGTTGGCGGCTTCGAGGCCAAGGATAGGAAGGACCCCGAAGCTGGACCCTTTGCTGTTGACGCTGTCGAGTTCGATCCTTCGAGGTCGGTACAATCCTGATTCTTCTCGTGCCCACCATTGTGCTGACAGCCTAGCAGCGAGATTCAGTACTACAAGATTAAGCTGCCCGCGCCCTTGAAGGCTGGCGGCCAGCAGACCCTGAGCATCTCCTACTACCTCCTCAAGGCCTACAAGCCCCTACCCGCCGCGATCGCCCAGGAGGAAAACCAGTTCCTCGCCTACGACTTTTCAGTGTACGCTCCCTCGGCCTACGTCACGACGAAGCAGAAGACCGAGCTCAAGTCACACTCGTCAAACATCCCCGATTACACCAAGCTCCCTGGCAGCGGTGACATCAAGGAGTTCCCTCAGAAGGCCGGCTCGAAGCTCACCTACGGCCCATTTGACGAGAAGCCCGCCGGTGCCGTCTCCAAGGCCCAAGTGCGATTCGAGTTCACCAAGCCCGTTACTCACGTCTCCAAGCTCGACCGTGACATCGAGGTCAGCCACTGGGGAGGAAACGTGGCTTTCGAGGAGAGATACGAGCTCTACCACCGCGGTGCGAACCTGTCCAAGCTCTTCAACCGTGTCAAGTGGCAGCAGTCGCAATACTTTAACCCCAACACCTACGCTCTGAAGGAGTTGCGCTTTCCCCTGAAGGTTGGCAGCGCCGACGCCTACTTCACCGATGCTATTGGCAACGTTTCGACGTCGAGATTCCGTAGCAACAAGCGCGAGGCTCTCTTAGAGATCAAGCCCCGCTACCCCGTGTTTGGTGGCTGGAAGTACCCCTTCACAATCGGCTGGAACTCTGATGCCAAGAACTTCGTCCGCACCGTTGAGGCCGGAAAGTACGTTGTCAATGTGCCTTTCCTCGAGGGACCTAAGCAGCCCGAGGGTATTGAGTACGGCCAGGTCAACCTGCGCATCCTTCTCCCCGAGGGAGCCACGTAAGTAACATGCTAATTTTCCTCTTGCGAGGGCCCGCTAACTTGCGAATAGGAACGTCAAGTTCTACACCAGCATTCCCCAGTCGGCCATCGCTGAATCGGCTGTTGGCGTCCATCAGACCTACCTCGACACCGTCGGTCGCACCTCTGTTACCCTCAAGGCTCAGAACCTTGTTGACGAGTTCCGAGACCGCGAGGTGATTGTCACATACGACTACTCGGTGGCTTCTGCTCTGCGGAAGCCTCTCATCGTCTTCGCCAGCATGGTGTTTGTCTTTGTTGCGGCTTGGGTTGTTGGTGGACTGAACCCTACGATCGCGAAGAAGAAGTAAAACAGACTATAGACCTCGGAGGCGGCTTTTCCTAGCATTTGTACATTATCATCAGACGGCATCTAAAAGCAGATGGAACGGATGGCTTTAGAGAATCATGATTGGACTGGCACACTGATCTTCGCGCTGAGAAACAGTTGACCGCTGTCATTTTGAACCTGTGTGGAAGGGTACCTTCTCCCTCAGCAAATATTACGGGTAGGGCCTACGCCTACAAGATTAGCTCTCGGAAGGTCTGTCGGGAAGATCTTCGAGAAGTCATCCCTGCTGCTTTTCCTACAAGCCGCCGGGGAGATGCAGGCTGACGTCGCGGGCTGACCAAGGTGTGTGCGGTGAAGACGGAGTGTGAGTGGATCGGCTGGGAAGATCAGATCTTAACTCTGCTATTAGCGATACAGAGGGCACTAGGAGGTCATCAATTAGACAGTCCCACCGATGGGATCGTCCACGGATTCATGTGGCAGGAAGTCCAGGCTCGTCTGCACTACACTGGGTTGGATCCGTCGAGGTTTTTGGTTGATTTCTTGGTTGATGTTTCTTGCTTTCACTGCAGGACGAGCTCGCAACGACTGTAACGGTAACGGTCACTGTTGCCGTTTCTGGGCGGCTTCCGTATTCACTCAACGACAGCCCGACTCTAGCCAGCTGAGAAAGTCAGGCCCTCAGAGGAAGCTTTGTTTGGTTTGAGGCCCTACACGATCTGTGACTCAAAACACCAAACTCTCTGCAACTTAGACCTCTCTCTTCTTTCCCCTGCCCTCGTCGATTCCAAAATAAAATCCAACTTCTGACCTTTTTTCGGGGACTCTTCTGCTAGGGCGACTCGGCGGGACGTCTCACGCGGATCAAACTCAGGTGGGGAGACCCTGGCTGCTGCACAGCGGTCTGGACTGGACTGCTGGTGAATGAGGCGGCGCCAGTTCTAAAAAGCAAGGATGGCAGGCCCAACACTCGATGGTCCCCCGCCGCCGTCGCTGCTGATGGCGGCGGAACGGAGCAAGGGTCAGAACCAGGGCAGCTGCGCCCAAGAACCTGGAAGCAAAGAGCAGCAGAGATGCGCTGAGCCACTTACCACAACTGCATAATACGTAAGGTTAGACGGCAAGGCCAGCCAACCAAGTTGGTTCCTTGTTCGCAGCACGCAGGGTTTTCGGTGAGGGCCGTCCTTTTCACTTTGTTTCCCGGGCCCGTCTGAATGCGAGAGGGAGGGGGGGCCATCCATCCATGCTAGAGTGGGATGGATGACTGACTTGCTTCGCCTTGGCCCTGAGTCCCCTGACATCGTTGACTAACCAGCACGCACTTGTTAAGGCACACTTGAACGGGAGACGGGAGATATGTGTCCAGGCCAGATCTGTGGAGGGGGGATGAGAAGGGAAATCATAAAAGGCGGCCCGTCGCCCACACCCCATTCCAGTCTGGCGCATCGCATAGCCTGACACTTACGCAGAAGAACATTCGTTGAATCTTCTACCCGCATCTATCGTCTACCACTTACCACTTACCCGGCTCTGCCTGCATTGGAGTGGCCAGCACAACTAATACCAACCTACCCACGCTCTTCCTAGTTCAGAGAACTGAACATCGAGCAAGTCACACAAACAACGCACAACTTGACCAACTTTGCCATCTCTACAGTCGACATCAAGATGTGCTTTGGAACCGGCGGCCGCAAGCACTACTACCACGAGGAGGTCATCCCCACGAGATACCACCACCACCACCACGGCCATCATCACCACGGACACCACCATGGCCATCACCACCACCACTCGCCTCGCGCAAGCTATACGAGCGTGAGGCGCTCGTATGTCGCCAACAGCCCGCGAGTCAGCTACGTTGAGCCTGTGGTCTACGAGCGAACGAGCCGCACCTACCGCCGAGATTAAATTCAGCTTCAGCCCTGCAAAAGAGTAGCTCCGCGGGAATGCGGATGGACGAACCTTCTTTTGGGCGGGGGATTAGACGAGCTGCAACGGAGCGGCATGATCGTTTCGAAATGAGAGGAGAAGGGACGAAAAAAGTTTGTTACACTGTCTAAGCCAGCATGAGCGACAACGCAACGCAGCGCAGCACAGGCAGCGATGGCGTCGGTCTACTTGGGAAGACATTGGTGTTGGGTATTTGATTTGCCGAGCTGGCGACTCGACAAAAGACTCGACGAATTTCACAAGTCGTCTGAAAGCTGGGCAACATCATCTCGACTGGGGGCATGGAGTTTATAATGTAGGATTCACGGCGTGTCCTTTTTTGCGATACTTGGGTCGGCATGAATGTTACGAAATATCTATGTTGTATGAATCACGGTTCTGGTCTTAGCCTTTCGGCAGTTCAATTTCTAGACTCTTGAATAATAACGCATGAGTGCTCAAACCGCGACAAAATGCGCATTCCGAACTGATCTGTGATGGCATCCGTGTGGGAGAACCCGCAAAATGATCGTAGGCCGGGGACGAGCACATTCAGGCGGCTCCCAAGCCGGAACGCTGCATCTGACAGGCCCCAGCAAGCGGGACGCACAACACAGCAGAGTGGGAGCATCTGCGGGCGGTTGTCAGCCGGGAGCCGTGATCGTGGAGTGATCACTCCGGCGCGACGGGCCAGAATTGGAGAAGTGGAGGAGGAGGATGATGAGGGGACTGGGAGGGGCAGGGAAAGACCCTTTTTTCCCGAGGTGTCGCCTGGGTCCCCCGTCACCGCCATGACATCATAGCGCGACCTTCCCAACCCTTCGTCATCTTCATCATCATCATCATCGCTGCACCCTCTGGAGAACACTACGCCGGGGGAAAAGTGCAGAAGGTGCATACGAAGGGCTGGCGCGGCTCGGCTTTCGTAAAAATTGGCAACTATCGAGCTGGCTGCGTCGGCCAGCCTGATGCCATTCCTCCAAGGCTCCTCTTAGCTACTCCTAGACAGCTTGACAGCACAGTTGGTGGATGCGCGCTGGATGCCTTCGTGGCCCTCTTGATCCCAACATGGCTAAAGCTTAAGCTAGAGCTAGAGCTACCTGCTCTACGGTTCCCCTCCTTTGGTGAGGCATGCCACCTGCCTGCTGCAAGATTATGACATGACTGTCTCACTCGGTGCCCTTCCCTCCCGAGTCAACCGCCGAGGACCCTGTTCCCCTTCTTAAAGTCTTCCTGATACCCTTGTCGCATCGCGGCTGTCGCATCCTACACTGCAACTTCCCTTCCTTAACGGCGCATTATTCTTGCTGCATACTTCCGATCAGAAAGGTCCACACGAGTCTTGGCTCTCAGTATCCGAAGCTGCCATCCCATCGAAGAGCCTTCCTTCCCCAGTCATAGACGCGCATCCCAACTGCAAGGACAAGGTTCCATCTTTCCAAATATCTAAAACCGATCGTGGCTCTCGCCGTAGGTGCTGCGTGAAAGAAGAGTAGGACGCTCCGGGTTATCACCCAATCGTTCCTATCCAGTTGCCATCATGTAAGCGATGTCGTCTCCCAACAAGCCACCAAAATCAGTGTGACCACGATGCGTCGTTTCTTCTCCTCCCGAAGTGAGGAGTCTGAACTCCCTTGCGGAGTGACGGCTATCACGTCCTCTCCGTGCCGACTTCCACCCTCAACTTTCTTCTGCTATCATGCTAACGCCGCAGTAGGAACCGCTCTCTCTCCATCCGTTCCGGCCACCGCCGCAACGGCTCCCAAAACACCTCTAAGCGAACTGGCTTCTCCTTCAACTCCCTGCGCGGTAACGTCCAGCCCGAGCTCTCACGCAAGCTCTACCGCCTCATCAAGAGCGAGAATAACCTCATCACCGCTCACGAGACCGCCGGCCGCGAACGCGTCTCCATCGCCACTCAGCTCTCCGAATGGGGCGAACAGACCAACGATGAGGCCATCTCTGACATCTCTGACAAGGTCGGCGTCATCCTCAGCGAGCTTGGCGAGCAGGAGGACCAGTATGCGCACTCCCTCGACGACTCCCGGGGCGTACTGAAAGCTATCCGCAACACCGAGAAGAGTGTCCAGCCGAGCCGTGACGGCAAGGACAAGATTGCCGACGACATTGCGAAGCTGAAGATGAAGGAGCCCCAAAGTGCCAGGCTTGTTGTGCTTGAGCAGGAGCTCGTTAGAGCCGAGGCGGAGAACTTGGTCGCTGAAGCTCAGCTGAAGAATATTGTACGTTTAAGGCTCCGGCGATGCCTCTCAACTTATACTAACGACCTCCAGACTCGCCAGAAACTGAAGGAGGCATATGAGGCCGAGTTTACCGCCACCATTGAGCGCGCAGCAAAGCAGATCATCCTCGCCAAGCATGGTCGACGTCTCCTACAGCTACTTGATGATACTCCTGTCGTACCCGGCGATATGCATCCCACGTATAACCACGGTCAGCAAGCGCGGCAGATTCTGAACGATGCAGAGGACGACCTCCGAGACTGGTCACCAGACCAAGACTTCACCCCTCAGACCGACACCTTTTCTGATGCTCAGACTAAGATTCATGACGAGGACGCTAGGATCGTTGCCAGCTCAGTGCCTGGGGAAAAATCACACGGCACCGACAATGCTAGCATCTCGAGCAGCGGTACTAAGCAAACCGAGAGCGTGGCTTGAGCATGGGAACGTGGTCGAAGGATGTCATTGGCATACATTTTCGGTATCCTAGGGAGTTACTGGAAGGATGGTGGACTTGGGTGCTTGATGCTGCGTTGTTTTATGTAATACCATCGATACGGCCGTCCTTCAATGATTAAATGATAATGCGAAGTAATCGTTTCTCGATATAAGGCGTTATCGTCCACATGACGATGGATGTGGAATAAGAGCTCAAACCATGAGATCGAAACGGAAGAATCTACACGACTAAACCATTGTCAACTTGATCGCCATCCGCCTTCTAATGTGTTTAGATCCTTATGGAGAGCTTCTAGTAAGCGTAAGGTGCCACTGGGTCTTGGTTTTTGCTTTACTTAATACGGCCATTCTCGTCAGAATCTAGCTACGCCTCGTTGTCTTCAAATTCCAT